ACAAAACTTTCTAAGACAATTTTTATAGAAAATTTTGTCTTTCTAACATCCGATCGCATTATACAAAGCGACCTGCAGATTACTAAATGTGTTTATTGGAAAACATATTGAATTTACTTTTACTAGACCTTATGTTAGCAAAAGGATGGTTAATAATATTTGCATATATTTCTTAATCTTAACTAGTACTTCTTGAAGTCTTTATGCGCAAATGTAATAATAAAAAATTTAATGCAATCAAATGTGTTAACCCACCCAAGTGTATTCATACATTTCCTCTATTCTGATATATGACAATAAATACCTCAGAGCACATTCAAAAAATGTGTGCAACGTTTGTCTCGACAACTAAAATAAAAATAAGTGTTCACCAACCAACTGTGGTCAGCAGAACGAACAATGGAAAGATTTATTTTCAAATGCAAGMGAAAAATAAAGAGTGTGCGCTGGCAATTTGATTGCTTACCAAATAAAAAAAAAGAAACAAAAACATAACATGAACGTTRGGGAACAATTKKGACAAGAAATTGCATTGAAAATACATAGAAATAGTAAAATATTAGAAMGGAATTCTAAGGAAATACGTGAGTTGGCGAATTTAGCAGCAAAATACAAGGATTTGATTTTCAATTGCTTGACAATGTTCTATACCGTTAAGGAAATATACAGATCTACCCACACTAGTGGTGTGCAGCAGCTTGCATATAAATATATCTGTATGACTGTATGAGCGCACATGTACACTTTCTGTATGGCACACGCCTTCTACTGCGTGCATGCAACTACGTACGCCTTGCATACTMCAGGGCGTATGAGCAACTTTTTACATGTCACATTGTGCTGTGCGTTTGTCACCCACCGCTGCGAGCATTTCACTCCAACTATTTCACGTTTGTATATGTGTATTTGTGTATTTGTGTATAAATATATACACAACTGTATGCTTGTAGGTGTTTATTGTTGATGTTTGCTCACTGCAATTGTCACATTAAATGCTTCAAGGCTACTGCTATTTGATTGTATTGTACACACATAATACTTTTACAGTTGTATATAAATGTGTGTATATGTGTGTATGTGTGTTTCTTTTAATTTTATGTGTGCGCTTAAAAACAACGAATAGCACTTGTGGCAAGCAATAAAGAGTATGAGAAGAAGTAGTAGAAATTTCCTTGCGGCAGCGAGCACTTGTCACTCACTCAAGTATGTACCATAGAAATTCGGGTGAGTCAAAAAAATCGAATATTTTTTTCACCTTCAAGATAGGATTTTTTTCTTTCCAATAATACGAAAAAAAATTGTAAACTGAGTGGCGGATTTCCTATGAATATTAAGAGCTCATACTTTTACTGAACATTAAGGGCATAGCTTTTTGGAGATTTTTTCCAACCAATTTTTCAGCGTATAAGTGAAAAATTAATCAATTTTTATTACCCACCCTAATAGAAGTGCATGTACACATATATGGGTGCGAGTGTGCACAATTGCTGTACTTATAAGGAAAATTATAAATAAGAAAAGATTTCCCACTGTGTCCACACAGCACACAGTACTCTTAAATTGAAAATTATACGCACATAAGCGCTTCTGGTATAATTTTGTGCTCAACTTTTCTTTGCACTTGTGGTATGAATTTCATATATACATACATATACATGTTATAATACATGCAACAAATGTATGTATAAGCATGTGCCACACAAAAAGATGTGTATGTATAGTTGCCATACAAATAATTCCTTTCTTCAGCTGGTCTGCATGAAAATACACTTAAATGTTTTTATGTATATAGTTCATATAACTTACATATAATCTCATCTTGCATTCTACTTAACCATTGTGCCAGTTTTATTCTCATTTCTTTACTCATTATTGTTTGCTTTATTATTACTTGCTCCACTTAAGTATGTGAGGTATTGTTTGTGGTTGGCATTTAATTTTCATCAGCGTGAAAATGTACGTTGTTGTCGCGCATCCGTTTCCGCTTCCGTTACCATTTGGCTACTTGAAGTTGGTGAAAATACATAATTAAATAATAACATACAATCGCATAGCATAAGTACGAGTTTGTATAGACAAAATAGGGATCTTACATAAAGGACAGCTTGTTTTAGAAGTTTTAGAATTTTTAAAGTTATTCACACGCAATATGTTGCTAAATAGTAGGCRTAATAGTTTTGTTCACCTAAAGGTTCTATCCACTAAAACTAAACAACATGCTCTAATTTGGGTTGAAATTGATATTTTTTTAAAGAAACTTGGTACAAGTGAATCTGAGGCTGAGGAGGTTGATAATGGAGATGGGCCAAGCCGCAGCCAAAAAAGTCGTTAAGAGAAAATCTATAAAATGCTTAGTCATGGCATATTATATATATTATTTTCTCTTAACATCATTTTCAATTCCAAATTAAGATATAAAGCAGTAGTTTGGTACAACGAATCGCTATAGGGAAGAGAATCTGTGGTTAGAAAATTTTTAAAACTAACTCACATAAATTTYATCTGAACAAATGCTTCTAGCATTTTCTTATACTTTGTGTAAAATTGAATGATAWTCACACCACTTCCCGATAACATATTATATCTCACAGCCAAGTSAGAGCCGAATCGTTTCATAGAGATCAGTAGAAAGTTTTTCATGGGCAGCCCACCTTTAGGTAATATCTCTCCATACCTCAACAGCAACTTAAGCAATTTCAAATTTGGTTCATAACGTTACTGTAGCATTCTTATATTTCATAGTAAAAAAGTATAAATCATACTAAAACTACGCCTTCTTCCCCATATATCATAATTTTAAATTAAACAAGATTATTTCAGTATACAATACTAAGACAAAGGTACAAATAGTGCCTTTAAKGTATGCGATCACGTCTGAAAATTGCCGTAATCGGATCATGAMTTTTCATGGCCCGATATACCAGATAAGTGAAACTCAGGGCTGCGGTTTTCTGGTAATAATATCCTAAGATCTCAAAAATGCATAAGACCACCTCAGTATTTTCATTAGCTCCCATATGCCTAGTATAATAAATTCAACTTCCGTTTAACTTAACACTATTTATATCGGCTACAATCTTGAATATACCATAATTTAATGTCACAAATGTTTTAAATCGGTCCACGAGTTAGCATAGATCCAACAAATTATAAATACATTCTCTTGAAGTTTAAAAATGTAATGTGAAATAAACCTGAAGAAGAAAGGCAAAAACAATTTAATTTACTTTTTCAATATACCTACTCTACAAAAACAAAAAGCTTTTTCGTTGTTCTGAATATCTTAGCAAATTTTGATGCTTTCAGGTGTTCACATTACGAGCTTATTCATGAAAATATTGAATGCGCTCGAGTTTTTAAGATAATTGCATATTTAAAATTTTAATAAATACGGCCTTTTAGTAATATAAAGTTAGTTTTCCAGTCATAAATAGGATTCGGCGCACCTTCTTCGCGTATCATGCGATACTTACTCCCAGGCTGCTTAAGGAAAATATGCAAAAAATTATACGGAAGGTTTTAAGGTTTTACTAAAAATTAAAGTTTACTTTTCTTTCAAAGGTAATTTGCATGGACCACAGAAAGAAAAATGTCGCTAAATACTGAGTTATTGGTGTGCGAAACATAAACACCAAAGTTATTTTCTCAAAATCAACTGAAAGATCTGAATAAATTTTCGGAGAATTTTGACGATAATAGTAAGAAACATAGAAGCGGTTCCACCAAGATCTAAAAGTGAAAGGTATCAAAATTGAAAGGATTGTCATATGAAGATATAATATTACGGCTATAGCTGAAATTCTTCTTTTATTGAAGGCTTTTTTTACGTGGCAGGTCCCAAAYAGAACGYACAACCCTACGGGGGAATGTTTCGCCTTCTAACTTTCGTTCGCTTTCAAACGGAKATTTTTTGGCTACTCAGAGGATACTTGGTCTAAGACCAGTAATCGTGAGCTGCTTGAGCTATWCTATATGTAAAATAATCGTTTCTGGCCACTTCCAAGTGAATGGCGTTCAGATAATTTTCTTCACTTGCATGAAMTTMTATACATGGCATACTACTGCTAGTAATGCTGGGTCTTGAAAAGATATTGTCATTTAAATTAGAAAAGAAAAGCTCATAAAAGTAGTTTTATTGAAAACTAAATCCAGATTTCCACATTTTTCTCTTTGTTTACTTAAGTATATGTTTACAACATGTTACATTTCAAAACAAACTGACTTTATGTCCGTTGTATAATTTCATACTTCAATGTACAAATAACTAAATGAAGTGGTGTTTCAAAAATTTCATTCGTTCCGCTCAAATGAGTGTGATTTTTACTTGTGCGCGCATACTTCGATGTACAAATAACTAAATGAAGTGGTGTTTCAAAAATTCCACTCGTTCCGCTCATATAAAAATTTACATAATCAACAGTAAAGGTTTATTAAATCCACTTAATTAGAGAAAGTATTTGTTTTTACACATTTCAATTGACACTCAAGCCGTGAAACTCAATTTTTCAAAACATATTTTTTTATTTTTTTCTGAGGATGTAATTTTTTTAGGGACGATATAAAATGAAATGAATTGGTGTTTCGAAAACTTCTTTGTATTCGCTTATGTCAAAACAGACATAAGTTGTAAACACCTATTAAACCCGTTTAATTAGAGAAAATGTTGATTTACAAATTTCAATTGACATTCAAACTGTAGGCTCCTTTTTTCTAAATTTATTTTTTATATTGACAACATTTTCTATATTTAAGGCTATTTAACTGATTTATGAACGATATAAAATACAGTGAAATGGTGTTTCGAGCTGCACTTAAAACCCTTATTAAGTCCACTTAATAARAAAATATTAGTATTATGAAGTTAACTTGATATTCAAACCGTTAAACTCAGTTATTATAGATTTTCGAACCTTTCTACTTATTTTTTCCATCTTTACATATAGCATATATCAATGTACAAATCATATTATATATGTTATCTTTCTTCATTCTTCCTATAGCCGGCGTTTTAATCAACATTGAATGCAAAGCCTGGGCAAGCAACATTAAACATGATCGCGCAGAAAGGAAAGGATCCGTCCACTTCGAATTGATGGTTGATTAAGAGCTTGCGCGCAGCCAATAAGTGAACGAAGCACAGAAAATAAATTAATAAAACAAAAATCATAACAACCACACAAAAGAAAACCAAAAATAAACAATAACAAAAAACAAAGAGAACACTTAGCAGGTGAAATAATAAACGCAGCAGTAAATAAAAATGGACTACAGTTATTAAAAGAAAACAATAACAGAAGTAAATACAAAACCAAAGAAAAACAACAACAAAATAGTAGCAAGATTAAGTCAAGAAACATGCAGGGAAGGGCAAAAACAGGCAAAAAGGTTAAAGCAGCATAAAGAGAGAGCAGAGTAGTAGAGAGAGATAGAGAGAGAGAGAGAGAGAGGGTCAATGTAATGAAGGCGAGTGTGTGATGTACCTATGTGCTTGAAGGAGTGAATGAGAGAGCAAGCTAGGAGAAAGCTGAAAGARGAATGCATGAAAAATACAGCAACAACCAAAGAATAAGAACAACAAGCCGAAAAAAGAAATAAACTAAAGCAGAAATAAAAAGCGCTATTTGTATAGAGCATATGCGAGCAGTGACAACAACAACCACAACAAAAATAAAGGCTATAATACAAAGAAAAAACTAAAAAATGTGTGCAAAATAGGAAAAACCAAAATACTTGAGATAAAAAATTGCTAAACATTTATTTTGCCAGAACGAAAACATGCAAATACATTACAAATTGCAGCAAACAAAAGTAAAAAAAAAACAACACTGCGGCAACACTGCTAAATAGAGCGAGAGCAAACCAAAAAAGGAAAATAATTAAATGAAAATGCATAAAAAAATAAGAATTAAATTAATTAATTTAATAGACAAAGCGTAACAAGGCATCATTCAATACATATGTACATACGTACTCGTATATATATTTTTTTTTGGAGACACAAAAAAAAATAGTAAAAAAGGCAAAAATACAAAAAATAATAAAAAGTAACAGCAGCGACCGAAAAATATGATTATTTGTATTTAATTTTATTTTGCGCAATAAATTATGAAATAAATACGATTTATGGTATTTAGTACGCAAACCCGCAAAGAGGTATGTATGTATGTAGTTAAAAGAAATAATTGCTTTAAATAAAGCGTGCAACAGCGCTAACAATTTTGATAATAAATGCAAACGCTTCTTTCGTACTTATTTCCTTACTTTAGCGCTTACTTGAGTAAATGAAAGGCAAAAACAAAAACAAATTGTTAAAAATCAGTAGAATTTAATTATTGAAAATACTTATTAGAATTTGTTGATATTTTTGACTAGTGAATGCAAGTTTAATAAACAATTATGATTATCATTCTGATTATAATTAAAATTAATTAAAAAAAGGTAATTAACGAAAACCAGCGCAGCGAAAAAATACAAAAAGCAACAAAAACAAACAAATACATAACAACAAAAATAAACAACAGGCTTACACTGATCAGCAGATTTACAAAAAGAAAAAAATAAAATACTTAATTTACAAAAACACAAAACACAAAAACATTTGTAAAATGCAAAGCAGAAGGAAAAGTTAAGTAGCAGAGTGCAAATAAAATATTTTAAATTAATACAAAGAAAAACTAATTGTTTAATTAAATTACAAACAACTTTCGTTTACAAGCAAAATCGCATGCTATAAAAAAGTATGTGTGATTAAACTAATTTAAAA